TCTCAGAACAACAGCAAAACCTAAAACGTGAAGGGAAAGCCCTACAGCTGTGGAGAGAGACTAAAGAACGAGGCTCAGAACAGGACAGAGACTGGCAGCCCCAGGGCCCAGGCGGCAGGAGTGACGGTCTCACCGCCACGCCGGAACGAGCAAGTGCAAGCCCATCTTTTCTGCTCAAGGTCCAAATTCTAGGGAATGATCTAGACAATCAGTCTGATCCATACGCCCAAGCCTTGGTGATCAGTTTTAAAAACAGTGGCCTGTGCCTGTCATCCCAGCACTTTGGGAGGCTGAGGCGGGCGGATCACTTGATGTCAAGAGTTCAAGACCAGCCTGGCCAACATAGGAAAACCCCGTCTCTACTAAAAATATGAAAATTAGCTGGGCGCGGTGGCGCATGGCTGCGTCCCAGCGACTCAGGAGGCTGAGGCAGGAGAACCTCTTGAACCTGGGAGCCGGAGGCTGCAGTGAGCCGAGATCACTCCACTGCAGTCCAGCCTGGGTGACAGCGAGACTCCTTCTCGGGGGGAAAAAATGTTCTGATAAAGTGTTTGTGGGAAAAAATGTTACCTAAGGAGTCAAGGGAGGGCTTACTCTGTTCCCAGAGACTCACGAGTTGACTGGGCGCGTTGTGAAAGAACACAGGCTAGGTAACGTTTCTGTCTGGCCAGCTGCCACTGTCCTTCAGCTGTAAGGCTTTACTTGTGCTTGGGCCTGAAGAAGAGCATGGCAAGGGCAAGTACCTGCTACTGAAGGAGTGATTCTGCTTACAGGTGCTTCTGACCCGAGCTCCATGCCAATTACTGCTGTTTTCAGTGTTTGGAATAGCTGGGCTCTGGGAACTTTCAGAAACAGAGTTCAGGTGGCCATTGCCTGAACCTTCCACTCTAAAACCTGACCTTCAAGAAGGCTTGTCCTGAGTCCCATGTGCCCTCTGCCTCCTACCGTCACTCCTGCCCCAGCCTTCCCAGAGACCCTAATTAGCATGAGCCTACCTTGGAAGCCAAGGTTCCTCCAGGACTAAAGTAATGCTGAGAACCCTACAAACGATCAAGGATGAAAACCAAGGTCTCTAAGCCTGGATTTTCAGGGGCTACAGAAATTGTTAGGTGCCCTCTGTGTGCCCTCAGGGCAGCGGGGCTGACAGAGGCACCCATTTGCAGCAGAACTGAGGTGGGGCTCAGGGGATCAGAAAGGGAGGAGCAGTGGATATTTTCTGGATCAACACGGTCAGCTTATTTTGTGCAGAAGGATGTCTCCGGGATAACTTTAAAGCAGGCCTTGTCTTGACTACCTTCAATACAGATACATTTTTATACATTCTCTCTGTATTTCAAGGAAAATAATTTTTTTTTCTTAAAACAATACCTCTAAATTTATGGAGAATGACTCATTTACAGCTAATTTAGTAAGCAGATAAGGGGAAAAATCACTCCACGAACCCACCATTATAACAGAACCACACTTATTTTTTGAGTGTTTTCTTTATGTATTTCTGCTGCATTTTTGCATAACTGTAATTATGCTGTACATATGCTTTTTATGTATGTAAATTTCTTAATCTGGAATAATTTCAGATTTGCAGTGAAGTTACACATAGTACAAGATTTCTCATATAGCCCTGACTCCAGTTCTCCGTAATGTCAACACCTGACATGACTCTATTACTAGACATTTTCCAAAAATAAGAAACCAACACTGGTACAGTACTTTTAACTAAACTCCAAATTGTATTCGGACTTTGCCAGTTTTTCCACTAATGTCCTTCTCCGTTTCAGGGTCAGGATCGCACACGGCATTCAGTCATCTAACTCCTTGGTCTCCTCTGTGACGGTGTCTGTCTTTCCTTGTTTTCACGACCTTGGCAATTTTGAGTATGGTCAAGTGTTTTGTAGAAAGTTCCTCGAATTTTGCTCATGTGTTTGTTTGTCCTGTTTCTCCTGCTTGCACTGACGTTATGGGTTTCTGGAAAGAACGTCACAGAGATGATGTGCCCCTTTCATTTTACCAGCAGGTACATGATATCCAGGGACATCTTTGGCAACGGTAACCTTGATTACTTGGTTAAGTTCGTGTTAGCTAGCTCTCTCTACTGTAAAGTTGCTATTTTTCTCTTTCTATATCCTTTTATTAAATAAGGTGAATCACTAATTCCAGTTCGCCCTCAATGGGTGAAGGAATTAAACTCCACCTCCTGGAAGGGAGAATTTACGTATTTTGTTTAGAATTCTTCTGTATTTGTTCATTTACGTAAGTACGGACTCATATATATATTTGACATACTTTTTCTCACATAACATTGTTACAAGACTTTTTCCTCATTTTACTATAGTTTTTATAACTGTAATTTTTACGATTGCATCTTTTAAAAAATATTTTCCATTAACCTTTTACTCTCATAAATGATGCTGCAGTAAACATCTTTGAACAGTATTCTGTGATTCTTTGTATTCTCAGCTCTGGCATGGTGTCTGGAACACAGAAGCATCTACAGACGTTTGGGATAGACAGATGGATGAATTAATGAATAAATGGTCCTTTTTTTCCTCAACAGTCTTTTCAGTCTTGGACTATGAAAACCTAAAATCTAAGTTACATGTTGGGAACAGAAGTTTGGGAACTGGAAATCGAGCCTTGGTTTCTGTGAACGACACCTAGTTTGTAACGATAAGCAAAGGGCCTTAGAACAAACTGAAGGTTTTGTTCTGAGCTATTTTCCTGTCTCTAGTTGGAAAACACGTGAACATTTTATCACCTTCGGCAGTCTTTCACGTGGCTTTTTCATTCTCCTCAGTTTAAACCGTAAATATGAGATTTTTAAATAGGTAGGGTGTGTTTACGGCATATAAACATCACCTTATCTACTGGTTTGTCCGTGGCAGGGAAAGAGCTGGTGGTTTGATAATAGAGTGAGTGAAGGACATTTGGAACGTGTCTCCTCTGATGACAGCTGCACAAACTCGACGGCAGCAGGTGCAAAGCAGCTAAGCGCGGAGCAGGTGGGAGACTGAGGGTATGCTCACCACTGCTGAGCACTAAGAGGGAGGCAGTCAGAGGCAGGTCACAACAATCCCGCCCCTCAGCCCACAGTGTGCTTTTTTTTTTTTTTGAGACAGGGTCTTGCTCTGTCACCCAGGTTGGAGTGCAGTGGAGCAACCTGGGCTCACTGCAATCCCTGCCTTCCAGGTTCAAGCGAGTCTCACGATTCAGCCTCCCAAGTAGCTGGGATTACAAGCACACACCACCGTGCTTGGTAATTTCTGTAGAGATGGGGTTTTGCCATGTTGGCCAGGCTGGCCTCAAACTGACCTCAGGTGATCCACCTGCCTCAGCCTCCCAAAGGGCAGGGGTGACAAGTGTGTCACCGTGCCCAGCCCCTCATTCTACAGTGTGCTTTGTTCCACTGAGGAGCAGGGAGAAAAAACAAGTTTCATCAGGAACAGCTGAATGTGTGTGCTAGAGGCAGGAAAGTAGTGAGAGGTTTATTTTAAAGGAAAACACCAACAGAACTTGATGACAGGGAGTAGGAGGAGATAAGGCTTGACCACCTGGGTGTGCCACTCAGAGAGGAAGTTGAAGACAATGAAACCTGGGTGACGAACGGCTGGGTTTTGGGAGATATAATATTTATGCTGATTTCAGACATACTGGTTGGAGATGACAAGGGGACATTTAAGGGACAAAGTTCGGGGAGTTGGAGGTCAGACCTGGAGCTCGAGCGCCAGGAGCATGTGAGAAAGAGAGCTAGACGCTCACAGAAGTGGGAACTGAAGCATCTAAGACAAGCCAGATATTGCGGAGAGGAAGGCACCTCTTTTTTTTTTTTTTTTTGAGACAGAGTCTCACTGTCGCCAGGCTGGAGTGCAGTGGGGCGATCTTGGCTCACCACAACCTCCGCCTCCCAGGTTCAAGCATTCTCCTGCCTCAGCCTCCTGAGTAGCTGGGACTACAGGTGCCCACCACCATGCCCAGCTAATTTTGTATTTTTAGTAGAGATGGGGTTTTACCATGTTGGTCAGGCTGGACTCGAACTCCTGATCTCGTGATGCACCCGCCTCGGTCTCCCAAAGTGCTGGGATTACAGGCATGAGCCACCGCGCCTGGACGACACCTCATTTTAAGTGACAATTACACCAAGGGTATGGGCAGGGGCACATGCTCCAAGCACCAGAAAGGACTCTGTGTCACAAAGCTGAATTCTGTCACTGTACAGATGAAGGAGCAGAAATCCGGAGAAGTGACGTCGTTCACTCGAGGTCTCACAGCAAGTTAGTGACAAAGCCACCCCACCCTACCTGTCTTGACCTGTATGGTCCAGTCTGCTTTACGTGCTAACATGTAGACAACGTTTAGATATACCTGCTTTACAGTGGACACAATACCCTTTCTTGACAGTCAAGGCAGGCTAACAAAGGACAGAATTTCATTTCCTTAGTTTATTAAAGATGACATGAACCGTCAGGCTGTGCACGAACTCCGGCACATGGAAGCCCCATTCAGAGCACGGGCTGTACACACAGAGCGTCTCTGCTGAGATTCGCGCTGTTTACGTTAATTCAACAAAAGCTCCAAATCCTTGGCAGAGAATGTCAAAAACAGCCTCATTTAAGCGGAAAATATTTGTCTTCCACTCTTCTGCTATGTCTCGAATCTTGTCTCCACCTGGTAATCAACTTTTTTTTCTTTTCCTTTACTTACAAAAAGAACACTACCCTCCCACTTCGTTTAGAAGGGATTCTCTTCAGTGCATTCAAAGCTTCTCCCCGCAACAGCAGGGGATTTTCAGATACTGGTAAGTTGCAAAGTGCTTCCCAAACATCCCACCCTCTACCCACCTTCCCCGACTCTCGAATAATAAATAGGCATTTGGACGGTGATGACAGCACAGTGTCAGTCACGAACACAGACACACAGTCTAAAGGAGTGCGGTTGAGGGAGAAAAACTAGTGACAGGTCAGGAGCATCTAAGACCCAGCGTTGAGTTCAGCTTCAGAAACTCAGCACTTCCATCCTCGATCCTGCGCTGACGTGAACCAGGCAGGACAAGACAGTCCGTGTCTCCTCCAGCACAAGGACCAAAACTGGAAGTAGAGCTCACACCTTTATAAGCCCCTGCGTCTGAACCTGGGGCCGAACCCCTAGGGAAACGTGAGTTCTGTGGGGTCATTCTTAAAGCTCCCTGAAGGACACGGGCCTTCTAGTCAGCCCTTCAACACTGCTGGGACTTGGCTTTTAGAGCCCCACTATGGACTGAAGGGAGAAGAGCCTCAAGGTCTTCTAGCCCAAAGAGGCTTTCAGATCCCAAACCTGAGGCAGAGGAACCAAGAGCACAGGCCAGTTCCACGTTCCCCCTGCGCTGGGGGAGCCTCCGTCGTTCCCTGTGAGATTCCTTATTACCTCCAGCTCAGGCGCTCATCAGCTTCCACCAACCACATGCAACTTTCTGTTCAGCTTCCAGGGGCAGCACATACACCCATTTTTTCCCTGCCAGCAAGCAACTATGAGAAGACAGGTATATGGGAAGAAGTCAACCCCAGAACAAAAATGCTGCAGGCTTTAGTTCACAGAGCTGCCAGCCCTTGGAGAAGCAACTCTGACCAGTGTTTTCACAGAGGTTAGAAACAGCTGTATCAACTTGAAGAGCACCACAAACACATACACGGTCCCACCTAAAGACTTCAACCATCAAAACACACATGAAAAGTGGGAGGAGGAAGTACACTAAAATTGGAAATATGAAATGGACGACTGAACATATAAATATCACCAGGCTAGAGAAAGAGTTAAGTGCACAGGGCAGGCGCAGTGGCTCAGGCCTGTAATCCCAGCATGACGGGAGGCTGAGGCAGGCGGATCACCTGAAGTCAGGAATTCAAGACCAGCGTGACCAACATGGAGAAACTCTGTCTCTCCTAAAAATACAAAATTAGCCGGGTGGGGTGGTGCATGCCTGTGATCCCAGCTACTCGGGAGGCTGAGGCAGGAGAATCGCTTGAACTCGGGAGGCGGAGGTTGCAGTAAGCCTCCTGAGATTGTGCCACTGCACTCCAGCCTGGGCAACAAGAGCAAAACTCTGTCTCCTAAAAAAAAAAAAAAAAAAAAAAAGAGTTAAGTGCATAATTGGCATAAAGGCTCTTGTTTATCCCGAGAACACAGGAACATTCACACTCACATCCGCAAATGGTCACGTTCTGCAACACCACTAACAGCAGGAAGCTTTTCTCCAACTTTGACAAGAGAAGTTAAGGCAAGACAGACTCGGCCGCCAGGGAAGGGCCCAGCTCTGCCGCAGGAAGGGAAGGGAAAATGCAGTCGGGTTGTACTTTTACTCAGAACCACAACGACCATCTAACAAAGGACACAGTCGTCAGGGACACGTGAACAAGACAGTGGGTGGGGCTTCTGTCTTCACCTTAGGGTGGCATCAGGGACCCGCCTGAGCTCAAAGATCATACCTGCACCAAAGAGCCAGTGAGTAAGAGAGACCTGAACCCTGAAGAGGGGCCAACAGCTCCTCTAGCTGAGTCAGCGCTCCCGAAGCAAGGGCTGTCGCCTCACATACGCCTGTGGCATACGAAGACAAATCGGCCTGGCCAAAGCAGCTCTGTTCTTTGCTTCAGGCTCAGCAGGGTAGATGAAGAAAGTCAGTCTGTCACATCACCTAGGCCTCAACGGTTTCAAACAGGAAATGCCAACAACAGAGGAACATTCACGGCTGCCTCTTTGAGGTCTCTGAGGAGTCTAGGATAGTTAGGACTCTGTTCTATAGCCCCCAAAATACCCGAATAGCAGACAAAATGCCCATGACGTAGTCCCACTCTCTGCCCAGGGCACAGTCTGACTCTCGTCCAGGACAGGGAGAGAGAAGACTCCATCCCCGTTTCAGCAGCAAAGGAGAGGCGCTTGAGAAAGGGCTGGCTCAGAAGCTCCCGAACTCAAAGGAAACCTGGAAATGATACTTGACATGCAGGTAAAACCTGGTCTGGCCCTAGTGGACAAGGTCACAGACGCTGGAAGAACTGGCTCTTGCTTTCTGCTCCTCTGACAGAGGCACTAGAAGCTTCACTTAAGGACCCACATGTCAGTTCTCATGAAAACACCTGGTGCTTACAAATTAGATATCTGTCACCACAGACTGGACCCCATCAACCTTCTAAAGGCTGACCACCCACGGATGTCACACAAGTCATTAAAAAAAAGACGATGATAATTAAAAAAAAAAAAAAAAGCCCCAGGTGGGGCAAGTCCTTCAAAGTGTGGCTCAGTTCTGCAAAATGTCTGACCCTGGCCCCAGACGGAGGCTTCATGTGCGTTCTTCAGGTGGCCTCCAGGACGGTGGCTTCCACGGCCAGTGCTTCCACGGGCTCCTCCTCATAGTCCGACACGTAGGACTCCAGGCTCTGCTTGGCCAGCAACTCCCGCCGGGCCTGCAGCCGCTCACACCGCGGACAGCTTCCAGACCTGAAGCAGACTTTATGGTAACACGCTTTACACTCTACGCAGATTGGGAAGGTGAGAGAGAGAAGGAAACAGTTCGTATTACCACCAGCTGGAAGTCAGCTCTGACACAGCCCCTCTCACCACCAAGGCTTGATGCTCCCCGGGAACCCGGGAGGTGGTGAGTCACCAGTGCCTGGCGCTGGCCCTCACCTTCACAGGTCCGGCACTTGTGCAGCTCAAAGGGAAAGATGATGTCATCCTCATTCTGACAGAACTCACAGATGAAGCCCTTGGCTTGGCAGAGCTGGGGAGGAAGACAGATGGCAAAATGAGGAACTGGCACGGGAGGATGAACACCGAGGTGTGGGGCCAAATATAAACACTGAGTGGCCCACAAGGTTCCGCTGCCCACAGGGAGGAGGCCTGGGCTGGGCTTACAGGCACAAAAGCTAAACGAGGACCAGGGCTGGGTGGCATCAGACAGAGCTTTTTTTTTTGAGATGGAGTTTCCCTCCTGTTGCCCAGGCTGGTGTGCAATGGTGTGATCTTGGCTCACCGCAACCTCCGCCTCCAGGGTTGAAGCGATTTCTCCATGTTAGTCAGGCTGGTCTCAAACTCCCAACCTCAGGTGATCCACCCACCTCAGCCTCCCAAAGTGCTGGGATCACAGGCGTGAGCCACCATGCCCAGCCTAGACAAAGCTTTAAGGAGGAGATCAGACAGTCACAAGCCTGAGACGCCCCCACCAGCAGGTGGCTCTCCATGAGGAGAGGAAAAGGAGGAAGGGGTCGTGCCACAAAGGGCTCCCTAAGTCCACAGTCCCATCTGGGCAATTATTTTATTCTGGAATAGGAACCACAACCAATTAAGACAAAATGTGACGACAGCCAGGCGCGGTGGCTCACGCCTGTAATCCCAGCACTTTGGGAGGCCGAGGCGGGTGGATCACAAGGTCAGGAGATCGAGACCATCCTGGCCAACACGGTGAAACCCCGTGTCTACTAAAAATACAAAAATTAGCTGGGCATGGTGACGCATGCCTGTAATCCCAGCTACTCGGGAGGCTGAGGAATGAGAATTGCTTGGACCCAGGAGGCGAAGGTTGCAGTGAGCCGAGATTGCGCCACTGCACTCCAGTCTGGCGTCTGGCGATGGAGCGAGACTCTGGCTCAAAAAAAAAAAAAAAAAAAAAAAAAGTGAAGACAAGCATGTTCCTCAAAAATAACACCTGGCCTAGAGTCAGGATATAGGGAAGTGTTTCCAATTCCTTCCAGGCATGCAGGGTTCTCTACCTATGCCCCATTTTAAGTTGTAATTCTGGACTGTCACAGGAACATAAACTGGGCAGCCTAAGACAGGAAGATCTAAAAGTGAAATTTCTGCATTTTTGACATGTTGAGTATATCACGACAGTAACAGCAGGCATTTGTGGAATACATAAAGTTTACAAAACGCTGTCACACAAATTACTTCATCAACCCTAAAAAATACTGAGACGTACGTACAATTATTCACCTTAGAGCCAAGAAAATTGAGGCTTACCTCAACGGGACAAAGTATTTCTTTTGGTCACAATGACTGAAAATAACAAACAGCGGCCGAGGGTAGAACCCCACATTCAATTCCAGAGTTCTCCTCTCACATCACGACAATTCTTTTTTTTTTTTTGAGATGGAGTTTTGCTCTTGCTGCCCAGGCACCTGGGCTGGAGTGCAATGGCATGATCTCGGCTCACTGCAGTCTCCACCTCCTGGGTTCAAGTGACTCTCCTGCCTCAGCCTCCTGAGTGGCTGAGATTACAGGTGCCCGCCATCATGCCCAGCTAATTTTTGTATTTTAGTAGAGGTGGGGATTCACCATGTTGGCCAGGCTGGTCTTGAACTCCTGACCTCAGGTGATCCACCCACCTCAGCCTCCCAAAGTGTTGGAATTACAGGCATGAGCCACGGCACTCGGCCGACAATTCTATAGACGTCTGCTCAGTCCTGCCCAGAGCTACCAGGGCGAGAGCCAGTACCAACTCCTCCCCTCACTCCAGGCTAAAGAATAGCAGCCCTTTCCAGTTCCTGTCCCAGTGCTGACCGGCCATTTCAACTCCCTGGAGCTAAGTGACAAGAACCCCAGGTGCATCCCTCACAGCAACGGCCCAGCTGCATGCTGAAGTGAGACTTTCTCACCATGCACCTCTCCACATGGGCGGCCCCCGCCCTGGTGAGCTCAGCAAGCCGGGGCCCCAGCTCCCCCTTCCTGGTTGCAGTCAGGTCATTCAGTGAGTACAGGTGGAGATCCTCTGTCAGATGGCCTGGAACTGTATCAAAGGAATCCAGAAGCCTACAGGGAACGACAGGAGGCAGGCAGGGAGGGAATGAACACTGTGTGACCCATCATACTGGGAAAATCCCTAACCAGAAAAGAGAAAGTAATGCGGGTGGGCACCAATCAGCCAGCCCCGTTCCAGTGTTCCAGGCCACCCCAGCCATTCCACACTACTAGGTGTCTGGATGGCAGAAGTGACTTATGGATAGACTCCTGCAGAGTGATCCATGTGGGATCCAGCCTGCAAAGAGTGGTGGCCTGCCCTGAATAGGATGGCCACAGATTTCCCCTTCCAGAGAGAAGGACACAGACATAGCTACTGATGTGGCTTCTTGTTTACCATTTTGCATTTCTGCAAAATCTCTCTACTCTCCTTCTTTACATAACAAGAGCCACGTGCTGGGACAGGCCCCCTTAGCAGCAGTAACTCAGCCAGAGGACCCTGGCCTCCCCAGAAGACTCACTCTTTAGCCAGTCGGCATGTCTTGAACATGTTCTTCATGTGATACAGCTGGACCCGCAGCAGCTGAAAGGAAGAGGTAGGGGGCAGGCGTGGGAGGGGGATGAGAGAAGAGGAATCAGGTTTTGGAAAGCCCAGTGCCTTTGAGCCCTGGGGGTCTAGATGCTTTGCACGCTGCAGCCAGAGCAACCTGTCCTGCACCCTAACTCGACAACCTGCTTCCAAGTGCTCTCCACGCAGGGAAGGCCCCTCTGCCAGGTCTGTCTGCCCATAACACATAAACAGCCTGGAGCAGATGAGCACTCTCACTGGATATCCTATTCCTCATTCATTCAGGAATGTTTTCCGGGAAGGAAGAGATTCTGCTTTTGCCACCGAGTGCTATTCAGCGCTTCCTAACTGCCACTGCCAGGTCTGAGGCTCCAACCTGACAGACACCTGGGAAACGGGACAAGATTAAGAACACACACAGGGAGGGCATGCACGGTGATAACACGATGGTGGTAATCTTGGGAAGCCCTATAAAACCGGGGGCGGGGGCGCGGGGGAGGAGCACGTGAGCGCTCCGACGGGGCCTTTTCCGAGGTCTTACTCGGACTTGGTTGAGCGGCTTGGCCTTCCTGTAGAGGGCACTGTTTATGTCCTGCACGTTGAAGAGAGGGTCGTTCCAGATCTTGACGAGCAGGTCCTTGGAGAAGTTGCTGACGCAGTATTTGCTGAAGTCCCACTTGCGCAGCACCCGGCTGGGGACGGCCATCTGCGCGTTCTCGTGGCAGCACTGGCAGAAGTACCTGCCCACGTACTCGCAGTACCGCAGTCGCTTGATATAATCTGGAAAACAGGAAAGCCGAAAGGCCAGATGCAACCTTCCCGTCTACAAGCTGGTAAGGTGGCTCTGCTGTTCCCTTCAAAGGGCAGACAGGGACGGCCAGTGGCCTCCAGCAATCTCTGAGTTCCCCAAAGCCAGCGGAAATCCACATAGCGGAGCCTGGAGTTCTGAGCCACCTTGGAGGCCCTGAGGAAATAAAACCAGCCAGGGTTGGTGAGATCCAGCCTCACCAGCCGGCTGGAACTGCCCAGCTTTCCACAGCAGACAGTGCGTCCTGCGCTCCTGGAAGTAACTTCCCTCCGACTGCCAGCACTCTTGCCCGGTATGAACCTGTCCGGTCCACGACATTTCTTTCCCTTTCCCCGCTTCTGCCATGCCACCTCCTGTTCCCACCTTTGACGGGCCACCTCTCCCTACGGTGGGAGAGAATCCAAAGCCTCGGGCGGCAGCATGGTGGGACGGCAAGACACTCACCAGGGTCAGTCCGGATGCCACAGCCTGCACAGCGGTAATTCTGCTTGGCCACAGCAATCTTCCTCCTGAGGAAGGGTAAGGAGAGGGCACTGGCCGACAGCAGCTACGTGAGGCCTTTGAGGCGTGAAGGACTGAGCACATGAACATACAGCTCTAGTTAAGTATGGGAAGAAAGGGGAATAATTCACCTGCTTCAGTTGGACAAAAACGAACCTACTGGAAGAGCTAACTCAATACAGCACAGGATTTAGGTCCAGGCAGTGACTCCCCCAGTAATGAACCACACATTCCGTACAAATGTAAGGAATGAGGCATGGAGAGAGAATGGCAGGAGAAAAAGGCATCCATCCACCTTAAAAAGAGAAGAAAGGCCAGGCACGGTGGCTCACACCTGTAATCCCAGCACTTTGGGAGCCATGGCGGGCAGATCACGAAGTCAGGAGTTCGAGACCAGCCTGGCCAACATGGTGAAACCCCTGTCTCTACTAAAAATACAAAAATTAGCTAGGCATGGTGGCTCACGCCTGTAATCCCAGCTACTTGGGAGGCTGAGGCAGGAGAATCGCTTGAACCAGGGAGTTGGAGGTTGCAGTGAGCTGAGATCACGCCACTGCACTCCAGCCTGGTGACAGAACCAAAATACAACTCCAAACAAAAAAAAAAAAAAAAAAAAAAAGAAGAAAAACCAGCAGGCTCACAAAACTATTGGGAGGAAGGCATTTGGGAATGCCAGCTGGGAGGAAGGCAACAGGTTGGGAATGCCAGCAAAACAAAACCCGCCTGATTTTCAATTAGCTCTAGGAAGGAATGGAGGATCAGGAGTAAGAAACTGAGGACAAAATGGACAATCCTCCTCCTCCGCCTCCAAATGAACAGAACTGCGTGGGAAGGACAGCTGGAGGCAGAGACGAGTGGAAAAAAAGCCCTCACAATCCAAAGAGGACGCATCTGTGCTCCAAAGGGCACAGACACCGGCCACTTACGTTGGGGCTGGATGAACATTAAAAATTATCTGAGGCCGGGGTGGGGCCCACTCCAAGTTGCCGCGAACACGAATGCGCAGCTTGTAGATGTCGGCATGCTGCCCGTCATCCGGTGAGATGGGCAGTGAGTCAGGGATGGGCAGGAGCTGCAGGAGGGAAACAGGGTGAGCTCACGTGAATGGCCCTGGGCCCTCAGCCGCGACAGAGCACAATGAATGACATTCCAGGAACACCACAAGGTAAGGGCTTCAGGGAACCTTGGTCCTCAACATCAGCCAGGAGGTGACAGAGGACTAGAAGTGAGGGCCGTAGGTCCCAAGAAGCAAACAGAAACAGCCTCCCAAGGCAGCGGCCCCAGGGCTGCAGTCGGCCCTGCACCCTCCCAGGACTCTTGGTGTGCCAGGGTGTTTCCTGCCTAAAGACAACTGCAGAGCAAAGAATCCAAGCCATTCACCTTTGTGTAGTATCTCAGAGGTGGCCACAAAGCAAGACGTCTACCTCTGAGTCCAGCAAGGAGTCATGTAAGGACAGCGAAGGAGCTGCCATCTCCTGCTCTGACAAGAGCTAGGGAAAACAGGCAAACAAGCATCCGCCCGTCTGTTAATTCACTTGACCCGTTTGTAATGAGTGGCTTCCATGAGTAAGGAAGGGAACACAAGCTCATTCCAGACTGGGCATGTGTGACAATGGAAAACAAGGTCAGAAAGGCTACGGCTCCCGGGTAGGAAGAAGGGCTGAGGGCCTACCTTCTGAGGGGCATCATGCTCCGGGACAAGCCACTCCAGCTCCGAGGCAGCTGGAAGCTGCATCCCCTCGAACTGCTTCAGGAGCCCCATGGCCACCGCCTCAGCAGAGGTGGAGTGCAGGAAGCTGTGGGAGCTGGAAAGGAGACAGTCAAGGGCGGCTGAACACGGAGAGGACAGGCAGCGGGCGCCTTCCCTCCACGATCTCATCCCCTGCGCAGCAACGTCTCCGGCACCGCAGCCTGCTCACCATCTTCCCACGTGGGCAGTGAAAAGTCCCTAAACTCACAGTCCCAAGACTCAGTTCAAGCCCCGCCTCCTGTCACTACGTGGCGTGGCTAGTGAAGGACTCCCACCCACTTTCTCTGAACTTCAGCTCCTCTAATAGCAAAATGGAGACGACAATGCCTGTTTACAAAATAAAGTGAGGAAAACTGCTTTGTGGACTAAAAAGCTATTTTTCCTCCCAAACGAGCTACTGCTTCCCCTGGTTGGGTCTATGGTATAGAACCCAACCCATCTGATGTCATCACCAAAAATCATCAGCACTGCTCTCTTTTGGGACCTTCTGGAGCCTCCGGTTATGATGAGAGTCAGCAGAGAAGGAGCCTCCACGAGAGCCCATCCCACTGGCGCCAAAGAGCTGCTGCTCTCTTCCCGTGGGCGTGCCACCATCAGCAGCCCTTCCTGTTAGCCTGGCCTCCTCTGGCATTTGGATGGCTCTGCCCATCCATATGCCAAGAACTGGGTTTGTTTCCCTACATATCCTAAGGTTTTCTTTCTTCTTTTTTTAAAAAGTACTCACAAGGACTGGGAGGAAATGAAGGGTTTGCTGCTTGAGGCTGCGTTCCTCCCGATGTCGGCGTCTAAATGGAAACCAGAGATAAGGGGAGGGTGAGTAGACAGGAAGTGCGTCAGGGATAACGGAATCCACTACAAGGTACTGCCAGCTAAGCACTCAGGGTAGCAGCTAGGCGCCACAGTCTACGCCGGATAAAGGAGCAAGTGAAGCTCTAAACACAGGTTATAATTTGCCTCTATCCAAATCAATACCAGGGTGAATTAGTAACACTATGCATAGCACTTAGAAGGTCAGGTGTTACAAACCCAGGCAGAAAGACGAGCTCAGCTTCGGTGTAAAACAGTGAACGAGAAGAGGTGTACCCTAAGGCACACAGGGACACCACCCCTCGCAAGCACAAACACAAACATGACTCAAACCTCTCCCACCGCCTGGCTCTTATGTAAGATTTAGTGCCTAACACAGAACTTGGATCACAGAGGTTACTCATTAAATATGCGTGAAATTGGAACTCTGCTTCTAACGTCTCACCACTGTTGCCATCACCCCTGAATGTCAGAAGTGTTCTACAGCCTTGAAAAAGCTTCATGGAAGAAAACGGACTTCTCTATAGCTTTGCAACTCTGGCGATACCTGGTTACCAACACATTTTGACAGATGGTCAACACAATCTGAGGCATAACTCTACAGGAAAGTGGCTGGCTTTCCCACAACGGATTCAGAAGAGGGTTTCTAGTAATGATATTCCTGAACCTCCAGAGACCTCATCTACCCAAATACTTTTGATGGAGGGGAATGTGAAATACAGCAGTTATGTTCAAGCAAGGCAGACACAGCCTATCCAAGTCATGAAAACAAGACTGTTCTGATAAATACTCTCCCACTTCCTTCGCTGCCCAGTGAAAAGACCTTTATTTCCTAATTAAGCCTACACAATGATCAATCCACTATGTCTGAGCACGCAAGAGAACACTAATCTTATATGACATCACTCTGCACTTGGCCATGAGCAGCTTTATTGTTCCTCACATTTCCTCTGTATGTAGATTTCTGTATGAACAACTAGATTATAAAATCACCCTATCAGGAAATAAGATTGTGTCTAATTCTTCTCTTGGCTCTAACAGGGCCCATATACAAGCATATACTCAAATAATAGTGTTGACAAACTAATGTCTTCAAAGCTACACATAGGAGTAAGGTAACAGAAGTAAAATCTGTTTATTTCATATGTTCTGTAAGCACAGGAAAACAAGACAATGACACATTTCTGCTGGTGATCAACAGCCTATTTAACAACAAAGATGTTCATGTATACCATGTTTTCTGTCTGAATTTGTGCCACCAAAATCCAGATCCCAGTGCACTGCTAGCTGTCTTATTTCTAGCTAGTTAGTGCTACTGGAGAAAAAAAAGCAGTACAGACAACATTAGGCCCGACATTCACAGACTGCTTGGTTTTACAACATTTATCTGGGTAACGCTTACACTGCCAAGGATGCGCAGAAGCCTTGCCTTGCCCTAGTGTCTTTCAGAGTGCTTTGTACATAAAGGTTTTCTGAAAATACTTTCTAAATAAATTATTAATTGGCTAAAAGCAATTAACAGCTATGTCAAATTCCATCCTGTTTGGGAGTAACAAAAAAGAAAAAATGGGAGAAAATCTTAGATATCCCCGAATAAGGAGCTAACCAATTTTCTTACTTTAGTACCAGCCTATTAAAGAAAATACTACATACCAGCAAGAACAAGTAGGTGATAATTCACAGTTTCTAAGGAAACCACTGCCTTCATAAAACTATTTAGCAGTTCTTTATTCTCGCAGAGAAGAAAACTTTTTTTCTTCTTTGAGAGAAAAAAAATCATTCTCTCTTTAGAAAACACAATTGAAGCTGGGCACGGTGGCTCATGCCTGTAATCCCAGCACTTTGGGAGGCCGAGGCGGGCGGATCACGAGGTCAGGAGTTCAAGACCAGCCTAGCCAACACGGCAAAACCCTGTCTCTACTAAAAACACAAAAATTATATGCCACCACCAGGCATGGTGGCGGGCGCCTGTAATCCCAGGTACTCAGGAGGCTGAGGCAGGAGAATCACTTGAACCTGGGAGGTGGAGGTAGCAGTGAGCTGAGATTGTGCCATTGCACTCCAGCCTGGGTGACCAGAGCAAGACTCTGTCTCAAAAAAAAAAAAAAAAAGAAAAAGAAAATACAAATTGAGTAACACCATATCATGTTCCTTCTTTTTCACTAGAGGTAAAGTGAGATCAGAGGTACATGCAGGGACTTCCTAGCCCATCATGAATAATTCCAAGAGTGTGGAGGGACCACACAACTTTGGAGGCAACGCTCTTATCCCAGAGTGTAGGGGAAGAAGCACACCTGAATCAAGGGGGCCATGACCTCTGACCCCAGCAGAATGCCACACAGCTCTGTGGGTCCCGGGCCTGTGACCCCGGCCGAGTGCCACACAGCCCTGTGGGTCCCGGGCCTGTGACCCCGGCCGAGTGCCACACAGCCCTGTGGGTCCCGGGCCT